GTCACCACCTCGGCAACTCGGAGAAAACACACCTTGCAGGCATCTCCCGAAGACGGTTCCTCTTTACGTTTTCCTAAAAGTTCGTCCATGATCAAGCTGCATTTCGTTTTGACTTCGACGAATTCTCCGACGTAGTTCGCGATGCGTTCGAAAGCATCGATCAGCCACTGTGCGCCTGTCCATTCGTCCGTACAGTAGTTGATAACTTTGACGCACGTACGGAAAAGTCTTATTATTTCTCCGAACAGAAACTCCATCTGTCTGATGTCGATATCCACCACCTTCAACTTGCGAACGTCCATTCCGTTGGTCGATTCGCATTCCTTACGCTTTCTTTTGACTTCACGATTCAGACGAAATGTGTATCTTAACCGATCCTTTACATCCTCCATGTTGCTGCACATCGTGATGTCGGGCATCAATGTGGAATTGTTGGTTAAACGAAAATATTTATATATATATATATACACCCACACACGCACACGCACCAACATATTCGAACTTTGTTTCGTTTGTTTTTATCTTTAATAATTAAATATTTTTTCAATGTTCCTTGTCCATCACGAGCTTGGCAAAAGAATCGATAAGACTTCTGAAAGCTTCGCGGTTTCGGTCGTCGTGCAGGCCGTTCACTATGTCGGCCACGCCCTGGAGCAGACGCATGTCCTTGACGTTCGCCTTCGTCGACCCGTAGCACAGATGCGACGGTCGACAGCACCTGGAGTGTTCCTCCACGCACATCTCGCACCTCATGGGATCGTGCCGAACGACGTGACGTTCCATGTTCTTTCCGCCGTGAGAGAACAGTTCCGTCGACGTCAAGCCGCCGTAATTCCATCCGGCAGTCGTCCTGTAGAAGGTCTTGTTCGTCGAAAGCCAGCACCCGCTGACGGGAAACACCTTGCACGCCGTCAGTTTCGCCGTCATTTCCTTCAGCAGCTTCTCCGGTTGCCGTCCCGTTCTAATCGCGACAGTCGACACCGAAATCCTGTCCAGGACGGCGTCGTAGTACCGGTCGCCGAAATGAGCTCGGAGGGCGTAGTGCAACGACGCGTCGTAATCGACGGAGAAACAGGTCGGTACCGGCTCCGACGCGATTTGTGCCGACACCTCCGTTTCCGAGCGAACGGCCTCTTCGCCCACGTACGCTATCGTCTTCGTGTCCAGGATGCGCCACGCGGTCCAGTTTCCGTTCGTCTGACGTCTCTCGACGGACCGCGATATTCGGTCCGGGACATCTTGCAGACGTTGGAAAGTCGAAGACGAGGCGGAGTCACGTCAGACGACGTAAACGGTGTTTTCTCGGGACGCTGCGCCGTTATCGTTCGAGTATCATCGAAAAACATTAAAGAAAGACAGACTTTAAAAAAATTGAAAGTCACACACAGGTTTATGGTTTTTTTTGTTCAAGTTTTATTTTATTCATTCATTCGTTCGTTCGTTCGTTGGTACGTACGTCTGGTTTTGGGTAATTTATGGTAGTTTGCACACGAGAACCGTATCTGTTTCTCGACGCGGGAGACGGAATAACTCTGGGGTCGAAATCGATCTGACAGATCGCATTCGACGAACACGACCGTGTCCCACACCTTCAGGAAGAGCTGCAATTCCCTCTCCTCGCTTTGAACTAGGTGGAACACGTTCAGACAGTCTCTGATTAAAGTACCCTTGCATTTCTCGAAGCATCGACGACTTCGAAGAAGTCGTCGACACGGTTCCATCCTCTCCGGGAACGTTCTACGAAGAAGATCGGTGTCGCCGAAATGGTTTACGAATTCGGCGAAGTGTTCCCTCTTTCTGTCCTGCATCCATTTCAGTTGCAGGCGTCTCGCCTCTCGAGAGTCGGTTCGTTCGGTCGGCGGCATGTTAGTTACTGACCCGCAATACCTTGCGTGGCCCGTTTTTGTCTTTTCGCCTGTCCGTGAACGAAGTTCGGCAGGATCCTCACGTCCTCCTGGTACAGGTGCGTTCCGTAGTAAATTGACAATTCCAACGTAACCGAGTTCGGCAGAACGTCCGGTAAAGGCCGCAAGACGGGGAGGCGTCCCAGAACGTCGGACGGCGGACCGGACCTCGTCCTGTTCGCCCGCTCGTCCGAATCGACGATCGCGTTCAGTTGCTCGATGCGGAGGTCCAGATCTTTCTTCGCGGCGTACTTATTCTTCTTGTTTTTATACTCGACGATCTCTTGTTTAAAAGTAAACAACTGTTTTCGAAATCAACATATGAACGCGAGACGCAGAAAGTAGAATACAATCGGCATGCTGTTCTTCTTCGCCCTGATAGTGATGTTAGTTTCGGTCGCGTATCCTATGCCGACCGAAGATCAATCGCCTTCTACGAACGAAATCGACGTTTCTTTCGCAACGAGCGTCGGCATCTCGTCCATCGTCGAAATGCGAGTGGTGAATGAGTGGCGAACCTTGTTCGTTGGCGCGAACAACTCGGCGTTCGTGTTCGATCTCGATCGAACTCTAGAATCCTCGACGGCTACGAAGTTAGACTGGATGCCGGACTCGGTCGCCAAAAAGAAGTGCAGACTGAAAGGGAAGGCAGAACACGACTGCCAGAACTACGTGAAATTCGTAACTCCGGATTTAACGAACGGTCGAGTGTTGATCTGCGGAACCAACGCTCAGAAACCGAAGTGCATTTATGCCGAGATGTCGAACTTGGAGAGTGGTTGGAGGAGAATGAACGCGACGGACGGTCTGTACAATTGTCCGTTCGCCGTCGACCAAAAAGTAACGTCCGTCTTCGCGGAGGGTAGCCTGTACGCCAGGACGGTCGCCGATTTCAACGGCAGGGATTCCGCACTGACGAGGTCGATGGGCAACGCCGTTCCTCTCATAACCAAGAGGCACGATTCGTTGTGGCTGAATCACCCGAAATTCGTCGGTTCGTTTGTAGAGGGAAGAGAAGTGTTTTTCTTCTTCCGAGAAGTTTCCGTATAAAACTGCGAGAAGATTTACCGTTCGCGAATCGCCCGCGTTTGCACCGACGCCAAGGGAGGCAGAACGATACTGGACTCCAGCTGGACGACTTTTCTGAAGGCGCGACTCGACTGTTCGTTCAGAGGGGAATTCCGTTTCGCTTCAACTACCTGCTGGACGTCGTGCGGACCGTCCGCGGGGGAAAGGTCTTCTACTACGCAGTTTTCACGACGGGGGAACACGAAATACCCGCCTCGGCCATCTGCCGTTTCGGCCTCGACGACATAAGGGACAACTTCGAAAGAGGTCCGTTCTTCCGACTGACGGCGCCTTGGGGACGCATCCCGGACGAGGACGTTCCGGACAACAGACGAAGATCGTACGAAGATCTAAACTTCGTGAAATCCCACCCGTCGCTGTACGAACCGGTCGGAAGTGGGGACACGCTCTTTACGCTCGTTCGACAAAACTACAGGTTGAAGACGTTGACCGTGACTGAGACCGGTAACCGTACGGTCGTTTTCGTCGGAACGGACGACGGTCGAGTCTTGAAATTGGTGATGTCGGAAAATCGGGCCGTCCTTCTGTACGTCATGCGCGCGACGGAGCAACCGATCACGAACGCCGGGTTGCACGGGAAATTTTTGTACGTAACCTCTACCGATAGACTTTACGAAATCCCTCTTCAACGGCATTGCCGACTCCTGAACGATCGCACCCACAAGCAAGATCCGCATTGCAGTTTGATGTCGACGAACGCCGGCGTCGAGTTGGAACCAAGACCGTCGGAGCACGTGCAGACAGTGGAAAAGACGAAGGAGGACGTCGAGTTTGAACCAAGACCTTTGGAGCACGTGCCGAACGCCGAATTCGAGTTTGACCGAAGGCGTTCGGAGCACTTGCCGATCGTGCAGGCGAAGAACGCCTATCTGGACTCGCCGTCGACGGATCACATCAGTCTCGTCGCACTCGCGGCAATAGGGTGGACATTTTGAATAGTTGAAGCTATAGGCATTGTTTGGTTGATCTTTAAATTTACTTTGTTGGTACGGTAAAAAAAAGAAATTGTTCGTTTTTTACATATCTGTGTATCCGTTTCTGTTAGAGTTAGGAACATGCGAACATGGGCAAATGCATTGTTGATTTTAAAATTGAAATTAACGAAGATTGACACATAATTTGTTTGTTTTTCTTTTCTTTTATTTCGTCTAATCAACACTCAACCAGCATAATCAATAATGAAAGTTCCTGTGAACCGAATAACGTACATCGTACTTAATGTCGAAACCTAAGACGCAGGGAAGTATACTATAATATGAGCATTTGTTCATCAGCAGTACGACGGTCGGACTATCCACCTGCTTGACGTACGTTCTAAGTAACCTGGGCAATGCCTCGTGACGCACGTCGTTTGAGACGCTCGTTTGCTTGCACAGCAACTTCAGGGAAGGCATACCGTCGTACCATTCGTAGGAATATGTGAAATAACACTCAGAACCTTTGGTTGCAACCGCAATGCTTTTGTTTCCCTCACTTTTGTCGTTGTAATATTCGAAGGTACGATTCTTTAGTCGACCGAACGTTGGATTTTTGATTATTATTATTTCGTCCTTTATTATTCCTTCGCCCTCGATGACACCGTAAAATCGAACGTCCTGGCTGTTTCCTATTGTGAATCGATGAAATCCCTTCGCCAGAAAACCACGCATCACGAAGTAACCTTCGGAAATCTCGTCCCACCCGTGCATTCTATGGGCTACTTTTTTTTGCATTTTTTCTTTTCATCGACGTCTGCACCGGATGCATTCGACTGA